TCTTTCACAACATGTTTGAAACTTGGACCTTATTTTCTGGGTTACCACGGTGACGAGTCCCATCCCATCTCGTACATGAGTGTTCAGCTGACAAACAGCGACAGTGAAGCACAAACAAACAAACTAAATGTTATTTAGAAACATATTTATGATGCAAACAAACGTAACGAGGCAGAAAACCTCAGTTTGGGTGTAATGTGAATATAAACAGATTAAAGTTTTAATGTCTTTGCTTCTCGTTTGTTTTTTTCCAGCGCGGCAGACCGTTAGACGGCCCACAAGTAAAGGACACGACGGCGACGCCTCGGCTAACGGAGCCCATCGGCCTGCTGACTCAGCGGTTCTTCCTCCAGATGAACTCGTCTCGCTGGTTTTAACGAACATGAGTCAGGACTGGAGAGCAGCACACGAACCAAGATGAACCCTTATGTCACGTCTCACTTCAGGGGGGATCTGTTTCCCCATTTTCATTTGTTGTAGACTTCCGTCCTCCCTGCTGTGAATCCGATGACTTCCTGTTATTCGTTAAATCAGTTGCAGGTTGAGGACTGATTCTGTTCGCTGGTTGTTGTTGCTTTAAACGTTGTCAGGCTTCAGTTGTAGGGTGGTCTGGAAGTGTTTGGGAAAGGTAAATACCAGCTCTACCCACAGATGTTTTTGCTCTTTTATCTAAACTTTTAGGAAAGTTTTGAGGTACTTTAAACCCTCGTGCATGCGTCTCAGATCACACCTACCTCTGCATGTTGTCATTTCTCAGCTATCAGCGGTGGCGCCTGAAAACCTGCAGAAATATGTAGAAACCGTCCCGACCTGTGCACTTACCCTGTCAGAGGCAGATCAAAGTAATCTGTTGTTTTCTCCCCTCCTTCTTCTTATCTCTTGTCAGGTGATTTCTCAGCCGTAATGCTGAGCTCTAATGAGGTACGTCTGCTCTGAGGCTGTCGCAGGTGATTGTTAGCAGCAGTTGTTATTCAGGTCAGACGTCTGCAAACAGAGCAGGTCTCCGGACAAACCCACGATGGCCGACAGACAGATTAGCAGACGCTCGGAGAGAAAATGTGAAATTGTCAAAGCGGTGACATGAATGAGCTGGAAATGGCAAACAAGACGTGGTTCTTCCAGCTGGGCCCTTCTTGTCGGGCATTTCCATGAGAAAGTCGTAGACAAAGTGACCTGAAACCCGTTTATTTCGTGCACGGTATTAGATTCTGCATCCAAGACCCGTTGAGTTTAACTGTGTTGTATTCTCTGCCTCCTCATGCCGGCACCAAGGCGTGGTGAAACTGGGACGAACATCCATCGTAAGAATTAGCATGTTTTCTCCTTATTTAGATGCATGCTAGAGGTATTTTTAGCGTATTGTCCAGTTTTAGTTTAGCTTCGCCTGCTCGAGCTCGAACCCTCGCCACTGTTCCTCCTGTTGTTTTGAACTGAGCAGAACCAACCCTGCATGCTGTTCTGATGCACTCTGAGCTCAGTCCAGTCTGAGTTCCTGCAGACTCACTAAGTTAGACTCCTTGGGCTGCTGACCTCCTTCTTTTCAGCTCACCTTGCTGCACTGACTTTACTGACGAACCTTCATGAACCTACAAAGAAGCCTGCTGGACGGATAAACTGTGCAGGTTCTGGAGGACATGATGGACCTGCAGCTGTCTCAGTATTAAGACGGACTGATTGTGTTGCACCAAACATAACTTAACCAACTGTACCAAGGAGTTTAGTCATAATCTAGGAGAATCTTGTACGATGGGAGCGGCTCGAGTGAAACGCCGCTTCAGCGCTGTGGTAGATGGGCCGGTGGAGGAGGAGGAGGTCATGAGGCTGGCTCAGAGCGCGGCGGACACGGCTCGGGCTGGCGGGAGTCCGACGGGCTCCGGCAGCCCGACCAGCCCTTCGCCGACCCTCAACGGCAGAGTTCTTCCCCTGCAGATCGCCGGTGCTCGGAGGCAGAGCGCCATCGGGGAGGCAGCCGGGGGAGACGGAGGAGAAGGCGGGGTGAGATCGGGGCGAGGCGAAGGGGGGAGAGGGTGTGGTCATTCGTCGTCGGACCAGGATTCGCTGTCTTCCCCCCCCATCGCCAGCCGCCGGCGCGGCAGGCGCTCCAGCCGCCGGCCCCGACAACGCTTTGTGGGCAAGGACGGACGCTGCAACGTCACCTTCGTCAACATGAGCGAGAGGGGCCAGCGCTACCTGAGCGACCTCTTCACTACTTGCGTGGACATCCGCTGGCGCTGGATGCTGGTCATCTTCACCCTGTCCTTCCTGCTCTCCTGGCTGCTCTTTGGATTCGCCTTCTGGCTCATCGCCTCTGCGCACGGGGACCTCTCCGTCCGGCTCACCCCCAGCCCGAGCTCCTCTCCGGGGGGATCGGGAGAAGCCGGCTCTGGAGGCGAGTCCGACAGAGAGGCGGCGCCGGAGGAGCCATGCTTCCTCCAGGTGAACAGCTTCATGGCGGCCTTCCTGTTCTCCCTGGAGACGCAGACGTCCATCGGTTACGGCTTCCGGAGCGTGACCGAGGAGTGCCCCCTGGCGGTGGTGGCGGTCGTCTTGCAGTGCATCGTGGGCTGCATCATCGACGCCTTCATCATCGGGGCGGTCATGGCAAAGATCGCCAAGCCCAAGAAGCGCAACGAGACGCTGGTGTTCTCGGACACGGCAGTGGTGGCGCTGAGGGACGGAAAGCTCTGCATGATGTGGAGGGTCGGAAACCTGCGGAAGAGCCACCTGGTGGAGGCTCACGTCAGGGCGCAACTCCTGAAGGTACGTGGAGGGAAATGAAAGGTAGCAATTAACTGGAAAATGGTCACATACTTAATTTGTATAAGTACATTTTATTTTGAAAAGCCAACATCCTTCATGAACCCTTTTAACATCTTTGAGCTTTTACTTTGAAAGTGTATCGATCAGCCAATCAGCAGTGAGCAGAGCAGACTGAGGATCAGACCCTCGAATAAATGATCACAGCTCAACAACTACAAGTCAGATTGAACCCAGTCTTCCACCATGAGAAGCTCAGTCTTGTTCAGATCGCTGTGATGTGTTTTCGTGTCCGTAAAGAGTTTTATACGGATCATGTGGCAGCTTAAAGAGACCGTCTAGGATATAATGGGAATCAATGAGGTGATTTATGAAAACACCGTCAGTCCTGCAGCGATGAGACTCACACTGGGTGGAAGAGGACAGAAATTTAAATGTATAAACTGTTCATGAGAAGGAGACGAAATCAATCCAACATTTTTCATAGTTTCTTTTTTTTTTTTCTCAGAATTTAAATCAGAATTTCAGATTTTCAAACAATGAATAAAACTGAACCTGCGGCTGCATAAAAACCTGTAAACGAATGCAGATTAAACGAGTAACATTCAAGAGCTGTTTAAATGTTGAATGAAGGTTCTGCTGTGAGATCTGCCAGACCTACAGGGTTCTACAGACGGCCGGGTTTGGACGTGGTCCAGCTGACGTCCCGTTTGTTTCAATGGGGATTTTTAACGCAGTTGTTTTTTTTTTTTTTTTAATTTCATAAAAACCGTACGAAGAAATGGCACCATTACAGATTGAGCCAATGAAATATAATTTGTGGGTTTTCTCAAAGCTTTTGAGTTTTCTGCCTGTTGGGAGAATTTATAATAAAAAAAAACCAGAGGAATAGAAATAAGTACTTTAATGCTTATTTATTGAAGCTAACTTCATACAAAACAGACCAAGACTGTAAATAACGTCCATCAAAAATCTGTAATTTGACAGTTTTTTAAGACAGTAATTTGCTCTTTTACGCCTGACCATAGAAGTCCAGCGTTACCTTTAATCAATCTGAAGTTATTGTTATTTGACAGATCTTTGCTGTTATTTTAAAGCAGAAGTTTATATATTAAGGATTGATGAAGTGGTCAAGAACTTTTTACAAAACATTTTTAAAAGTATGAATTTACATGTCGACTGTTTTACTGTATTTAAAATATCTACAAATAATAAATATTTTACAGACAGTTGCTGTTATTTGAAAGAGAATAAGGATTGAAATGTGGTAAATGGTTCAGAAGGCTCAGTATGAACGTACATGTTGCCTGTAATAAAGCAGAAAGTTTTACTGCATTTAAATCAGCTGGAAGTGTGAATATTTTACAGATATGTGCTCAGTGCTGCCAGGTTTTCAGTGTCTGGATGTTCCTGCTTGTTAACAGTGTCGTTCAGAGGTATGTCAGGTTCATTTTTGCAGCATCTCAGAAGCTTTGTTCGGTTGAGGGACCAAAATGACCAAACAATCTGGTGGTTTGGGTTAAAAACGTGACGCTTCACAACAGAACTGGTGAACCTGAGTGGAGGGAGAGTCCCCGGTCAGAGGAGAGCTCGGAGAAGTTATTTGGGGAGATTAAGAAAAGTAAAAATGCACCAAGTGATGCAGCTGTGAGAGAATGAAAAGGTTGCAGCAGAGAGGAAGACGCGCTGCGACCATCTGGCTTGGTTCTGCGGCTGCAGTTAATGAGAGCTTGTTGTATTTTCTGCAGGGTTAGGAGGACTTAGCGTGGATTAAGCAGCCTGCCATTCTTTGCCTCGGCCCATTGTCCTTCGTCATCTCATTTCCCCCCGTGTCCTGCTTGTTTTCTGATGATGCCTGCCTCCAGCCTGACCCCACCTGGCCACCTTTGGACTCGGTGCTCTGGGTGTTCTGTCGTTGCCGTGTGACTCGGCGGCGGGTCAGGCTCGGCGGGTCAGGCTCGGCGGAGCGTCGGGGCTGCAGCGTTTGATCTCCGAATAGCAAAACCAGATCAGAGTCCAAACAGGGCAGATGGGATTAAGTTTAGCAAAGGATCAAAGAAATATGATTCCAAACGCGGGCTGGATGTCGGTGAAGGTTGGCCGAGTGATAAGCCAGCGCTCCGGTGAAAACACAATAACCAGCGCTAAGCTTTTGGGTCAGGAGGAGACGTTTCATTTTTTCTCAGATTACCTTTGAGAACGGTGTGAAATGTGTTTAAAGTTTTCATATACGGTCTGACCTCCGAGGCGACGGACGGACTTCATGTGTTCTGTCGAATCATGTGGTTTTACTGGTTCACACTGAACATCGACTGTTAGAAACATTTTACCTGTAATTTAACAATTTAATGCCTGGTTTGCTCCGTTTTCTTAAATTAGATGCACCAGCTGAGATAATCACACAAACATAAGCATTGATTTACACGTGAAGCACAAGAAAACAGGCCACAACCCTCAATAATGTTCATATTAAAACGTCTGTGATAGTTTCTGTTTGTTTGTTTGTTTGTTTTGGACCATAAAACACCTGGTCACCTGTCCAGGTGTCCCTTTGAAAGAAAATAAATAATTTACTATTATTTGACAGAAAAATAAATTATATTAAGGCTTAAAGTGTTATTTTACAGATTGTCCCTGTTTTTGTTTGGTTAAATTAAATTAAATATCTACAAATCACAGAAAAAAAAGTTTATATGTAAGATGTAAAAAAACAAACAACTGTAAATAATGTGAACATTAAAAATCTATAATTGTAAGTGTTTTTTTACGAGTGATTGTAAAATTACAGGATTCTACTGTATTTAAATTAGCAAAAAATAAATAATTGTACAGATGTTTGCTGTTATTTGGAAGAACAATTATGTTAATGAAGGACTGAAGGTGATAAACAAACTGATATTTTTAAGTTTATTTTTTGTAATTTGTTCTTTTACAGTGTGCGACCATAAAATTAGTTTTACAGTTTTAAAATCAGTCAAAAAAATATTTTACAGATATTTGCCGCTATGTTTTTATTATTATTGTTATTTATTTGTTTTACTATTTTTGTGTGTTTTTATGTTTCAGTTCCAGATTTTTTTCGTCTCCATTTCTATGAAAATCAACTGCATGCACAGTTTTATATAAATATATAAATATGTATGTATGTTCCTCTGTTTTCCAGTCCAGGGTGACGCCGGAGGGAGAGTTCCTCCCGCTGGACAACGCCGACATCAACGTGGGTTTCGACACCGGGACCGACCGGATCTTCCTGGTGTCGCCGGTGACCATCGTCCACGAGATCAACGACGAGTCGCCCTTCTTCGAGATGGACCGCAAGTCGCTGGAGAGTGACTCGGAGCTGGAGGTGGTGGTGATCCTGGAGGGCATGGTGGAGGCCACGGCCATGACCACGCAGTGCCGCAGCTCCTACCTGGCCTCGGAGATCCTCTGGGGACACCGATTCGAACCGGTGCTGTTCGAGAGGAAAGACTGCTACCAGGTCAGAGACGGACAGACGGACAGTCTGGAATCTGTTGTTAGACGACTTTTAATTTCTCTAAACCTAAAATAAAAAGATAGGAAGTCGTGAGTTCAAGGATCAGGTCGATGATGATGTTTCACTGAACCATCAGATCTTTTCAAGTCTGTCGGTGCTGCAGACAAACATCACATCAGTCTGAGACACAACTTAGATCAGGACACATTAAAGTCCAGTCATGACTCCATAATCGACCCTTAACAATCCAGAACCTGCTATCCAACAGGTTTGTAGGAAAAACCAACAGAACCCATAAAAACAGCCTTAACATAGCGACAGCCTTGGATTGTGACTCCGACATGACATTTAATGTCACCAATCAGGATGACGGCGTATTATCTGACTGAACAATCCCACAGATTGGCTACGTTCACACTGCAGGACTTGATGCTCAATGAGGATTTCTTTGTGACTTCCTTCACGTTTCCACTTCAATGCGACTTGTATGTGATCTGCTGTGTGAACTTCACACGAGCCAAAAGTGTCCCGCATGCGCAGAAGAGGACACGACGACGTCACACGCAGCGAGCGTGCTCAGTGTTTATGGAAGTAAACATGGATGGTAACGGTGGAGCGTATCTGCCACTCCCCCGCCGCCACCGATGGAGGAAACAGAAGTGTGAGCGCTAACTAAACTAGCATCAGCAGCCAAGTACTGCCTGTGTGTTCTGGACACTTCCACCCCGTCAGAGCGCTGCCCCGGGGTGGAAGTGTCCCCCGACCCAACCAAAGATCCGAAAATCAACAATAACTGGGCCTGAACATCCAGAGAGCAGAAAGTTCTATTGGGACCAGAACTACTAGTTATTATAACAACTATGAACAATAATGAACAACTAATGAGCCTTCCAGCATCAAGCCCTCCTCGTATCTGGACCTCCGTCTGGACAATCCAACAGCCTTGCTATCTGACATAGAAGAAGGTTTTACATTTAGTGTCAGGTTATGGAGTCACGACTGTATTTATAAAAGCTTTTACTAGAGGTCATAAACCACCACTAAAGTCTCTCCAGAGTCAGTCCATCTGGTAAAACTATTTCCTTTATGTTGACATGTTCTCATGCTTCTGTTCCATCACGTGCATCGATTTTAGCTGCATGACTGTAAACATGCAGTGAGTTCTGAAACAGGACAGTCAGGCTCCTGTATGTCCTCCAGATCACTATGAATGTTCAACACCACACCTGCTCCAGACCTTTGTAGTTACACATCATTTTGTTTTAGATATATTCATTCCCTTGAAGTGGTGCCACAGTCAGTCTGGACCGTGCAGCGCTGTTCTTAAATCCTGACTGAACCTTTACATCCACCAAAATCTTTCTGTTATTCACAGTAATTACCAGCAGCTGGACTTCAGTGAGTTTAAATGATGATTATCAGTAAATAGTTTGAGTTTATTCATGTGTCTGATGCAGGTCAAACATCTGGAGACTGGTCTGGACTGATAATTACGCTTTAATATGAGTCTGTGATGTCCAGACTCTTCATCCACACTTTGTTTTAGCTGCAGGTTCTGGATCAGTTTTCTTTCCTTCAGCTGGTTTTCTACATTTTGTACCATTTGTGACTCATTTTGGACCAATGTCAGATCATTTTGTCCAGTTTGAACCCATTACAGACGAGTTTAAAGATGTTTTTAGCGGTTTGGGACAACGTCTGAGTTGTTTTGTTCACTTGTGAGACATTTTGGAGAAGTTTGAGCCCTTTTCTTTGGATCATGTTGGTCAGTTGAACTCATGTTGGACAAATCTGAGTCATTTATAAGTTATTTTGGAGAGTTTTAACTAGTTTTGGAAACATTTCAATCTTTCCAGGACAGTTTTGAGTAATTTTTGGATGCTTTTTGAGGGATTTAGACAGCACAGAGCCCTTTGGGGCATTGTTTGGTTAATCCTGGACAGTTTGAACTCATCCTGGACAAATATGAGTCCTTTGGGAGTTATTTTGGACACTTTTGCTGAACGTTTGTGCAGGTTTGAGTCAAGTTTGAGTCACAGTTTGAGCCCTTTTCTCTTGTTTTATGAAAGTTCAAGTCCTTTTGAACAAGTTTTGAGTCCTTTTGGAAGTTTTAATCTAGCTTTGAGCAGGTTCTGCAGGTTCTTTAGAAATGTTCTGCCAGAGAGATAGAAGTTTGAAACTCCAGTTCTGTGTGTGGCGCCTCCTACAGGCTTCACTGTTGGGTGACTAGTTTAGATAAACGTCAGATGAATTCATGAGCTGGTCAGACGTAAACCCTGTGGCTCTGTTCCTTCCTCCAGGTGGACTACTCCTTCTTCCATCGGACCTATGAAATCCCAAACACTCCGTCCTGCAGCGCTAAAGAACTCGCCGAGGAGAAATACATCGACAGCTCCAGATCGTCCTTCTGCTACGAGAACGAAGTGGCTCTGCAGCTCGTCTCTCCTGACGACGAGGCGGATCCGGAAGCAGAGCGACCCTCCCCTCCGACCCGGAGCTCCTCGCTGGCAGAACACCTGCACTACAACTGAGCCTGACAGACGAAGATCAGGGACACAGAGACGAGGGCAGAAGCAGGCAGAAGCAGTGGAGGGTTAGAGGGAGGATCGGCGATGAGAGAAGCTCCAGATGTTGTAGAAGTTTGTCCGATTCACACCAGAACTCCTGCAGAGACAAAAAGGACGAAGACCAGGAGGAGGTTCAGCCTTCTGAGCCGGTTGTCTGATTGGTCCTGGCAATCTTTCACAATCATTGAACACTCGTCTGCTGAGTCTCACATCTGGCCCATCACTACCACAGCGCACATCTGGCTCTGAAGCCACATGCAGCAGCGCCCCCCGGTGGCCGCAGCCTGCTGTTGTTCAGACCTGCAGAGGGTGTTTAGAATGTATTTGCTGATTTATCATTTTTATTTCCTCATGGTAAGTATGGGACGGAGCAGCTGGGAGCCGAAGCAGAGCCACATGGAAGGAAACAGCTGAGAGCGAGCAGCGGTTTTCAGCCGTTTGTTCCCATGTGATGCTGCTGCTGGCTTTGTTTTGCTTTTTTTTTTTTTTTTTTTAATTTGTCATGAAAAAAAAAGTTCTCTGATTGTAGAATTTGTTTGATTTGTTTTGACATGTTGAAGCTGGTGCAGCGTTGCAGCAGGACGGTGCTTTCTGGTGTTTTATAGTCATAAACGTAACCTCGCTGTTGTTTTGTTCTCACACTGCTGGATTCTTGTTCATGTTTAAGGCGTCTTGGATGACTTGTAATGAAACAGACTGATTCCTGTGAATGCATCTGAGACGTCCGACGTCACTGGAACTGACCTGAACTGAGAGATGTTCTGACCATGAGGTTTCTGGACAGACAAACTGGAAACTACAACATGTTCTGCACATTATTCTGTATTTTTGTGCTCCTAGAATCTCACGACCCGTTTAGTTTTATTTGAGCAGGCGGTGCCTTCAAGACAGAGGGTTTTTGCAGCTGGCCCTTCATGTGCAGCAGTTTGTTCCACGTTGTTTTGATTGTGTGTATTTGCATAATTCTGTTTTTATCTCAGCCACTTTACCGTTTGCAGTAGAAGACGAGCGGTCACTGTGGACGAACACTGGAGAGCTTTTAGCTGTAGATGACTCATAGATGCACTTTGCAGCACCTGGAATGTTTCTGCTCATTTCCATCTCCACAGTAAATTCTGAGTATCTCAGCGTGTGATTGTGTCGGCAGAGGCAGCGACGACCAGCCCGTCCGAGAGCTTTGCACTAAAACGTAGAGACGAGTGTCAGTGACCAGGACGCTGAAGTTTTACCTGAGAACATATTCTGTGTTATAATTACGCTGTTCTATGTTTGTGTCGTCCCTCCAACGTCTCCTTCATGGTGTCCATGTTCTATTTATAGGCGCCCTGCCTCCACCTCCACCGGCTGTAACCTGAACTCGCAGCACCATCACTTTAACTGCTTTTAAAAACCCCAGAAAGAAACACACACGAGGATTGTTTGGTTGTTTCACTGTGTGCCGAGGATCACAGCGTTTCACGCGTCGTGTAAAATACGTGTAAACCACCTGCTTTTGAACAGATTGTGAGATGGCAGTAATAAAAGCTGTACCTACCTTTTCCCAGGTGATTTTTCTGAAGACATAAATGTATAATGTGAGATCTGACTCAGGCACAGAACACATGAAGCTGTGTTGTAGAGCAAATAAAACACAGATTCAGTCGCACTGATGGCTCAGTTCTGTATTTATTCTCTCAGCAGCACTTCTTGTACATTAATGACTTTGTCGTCCTGATTTATTACCGTTATCACGATTTTTTTTTAAAAAAATTTATAGTTTTGCATTTTATATATATATACGGCTATGTTATGGAAATAGATTTTTTTTTGTTTAATGTCTTTAAATTAGTTAATTTATTTTTGTTTTTGTCCCCATCTGTCACAATGAGCTTTTTTTTTTTTAAAAAAAGAGAAAAATAAGTTTCTATTTTTATATATTTTTTATTTTTAGCGATTTCTTTTTCTGTTCTTCTTATTTCTTCCCCCGTCTGTCACAGAATATTCTGGACATAATATTAAACCAAACAGGATTTTTGTTTTCATGAATTTTTTTTTTAATATATGAAACGAGGATTGTGCACAAATTCTGATAAAACAAAACTTCAAGGAATAAACTAAAGTACAAAATGTTTTAAATAAATTATAAAGCTTTTATTGTGGTCATATGATAAACTTCACAGCTCATATTGTGACAACAGGAGGTTTGTGTTGGTATTTAAATGAACATTTACTATAAGTCAGAATCGGTGGTTTCACTTGTTTTAGCAGCACATCGCAGAGTAAACGAGATTTAATCCTTTAGTTTAATCATTTCTCTCATTATTATTGTTATTA